AAAAAAAAAGGAGCGTTTGCGATTTCCTAAATAAGGACATCTATGCATACGTATGGGAGACATGTGTTACTAGAACTCACCCAGAGGTATCCTGATCCTGTTCAGCCTGCACCATGTTACGGAGGCTTGCATCAGCAAGAGCCTGGGTGAAGTGAGTGTATGGAGCCATGAAGCAGTAGTGGTAGAGTCCTGGCCGCAAGCTGGAAGAGCCAAGACGTAGAGCTTTGCCCTGGGACCGACTGGGTCCACTCAACACGCCCTCATACTGGGAGGCCAGGTTGTTCCCAAATAGTGTCTTCAACAGCTGGAGAATAAGTCAACTTATTACCACAAGAACTCTTTTGAAAATATATATAAACATAAATATACAAAAACACTATAATTTTTAACTTCACATAAAATTTGAGAATCCAGTTGATATATTTGAAGTATTCCCTTTCTTTCTTTCCCCCCCCCCCAAAAACACAGCAATAATTAAGCTCCAGTGAAACCTCTTTTCTTTAGAAGCTCCTCCACCCGTAGGATTAATAGTTATATAACCAAAATCACTTCACCATTTAATTCTGCTTTTATTCATAATTGACATGCTGTGAATAACCCCTTAAACACTGACTTCCTACGCTCCCTTAAAGTCCCTTTAGTATGTCTGTGGACTTATCAAAGAAACTGAAAACTAGATTACCACTGAGACAGAATACTAATGTGTGTTGTTCTATAAATACATGAATGTATGGAACCATCGCACAGGGGAACCAATGCCTTTACAGGCCCTGTCGGCAGGAACCAGCCTCACTTTGTGTGGAGTCACACCGGCTGCAGCACACTGCTCAGTGCTAGAACCACAAAGACTGCCACACATTCAAAAGGATATGCATCTAACATTCACAGGCATTAACACATAACATACTAACCTGTTGCACACAAACTGTGGCCATGGTTGGTTCTCTGGAGAAGCAGGACTTGAGGTAGCCCAAAATTTCCTCCACACACTAAAAGAAAAGAAAAAAAGGTTACTTCTTCTATTGATAAAGAAGAAGATTATCAATAAATTGGTTGTTAACAAGAAATGAACAAGACCCCTTGTTAAGGGATCGCACCAAACTTAACACTGAAAGACACTGAAATTCATCTTTACCTTCCCGATGTCATGAAGTGTGGCTAACTCCAGCAGCTGAGAAAGAACATCTAATGTAGCGCGCAGGAAACTTCCAAACTTTTCTTGGCTACTGTGAAGGTCCAACGTAACCTAGAAAACATTAGACCATCCATAAACCACCATACAGGCAGCAAAAATCTATTAAAATCATTTTAAGTTTAAACAAAGAAGTGTTCTGACCTTATAGTTGGCATGCGTAGCTTTGAGCACATCATAGAGCTTGAGGTAGGGAGGCAGGTGGTAGAAGTTGCCAAAGGTGGTCGATTTGTTTACAGTTGTTGAGCCTGTACTGTCTGTTGGCCTACCTGCTTAGAAAAACACTACTTAATATTCTGAGACTCACAGAGATGATCTGTACCCTTTTTTAAGCATGGTGAGGCATTTACCTGTGTTGGCCTCACTGCCTTTCTTTGGGCTCATAGGGGTGGCACTGGGGTCGGCAACCTCCTTCTCCTTGCCTTTCCTACGAATGGGACTGAGGGAGGGGGTGTTGCTCAGGGAGGGGAGAGTGGCCTATAAAGTTGGTATAGAATGCAACAACAGAACACAATATATCAGACATCCTGTGGATCAAACTTGTGGTAAAATGCACCTGAATGCATGGTGCCAAATATTTTCTTTCATGAGTCTGTTAAACCAAATAACTCTCCTTATCAAACGCACCTTCATTGCTGGTCCTGGTGGTGTATCATCCAACACATGGGCACAGATGTTGAGGACCTTCAGCAGATGGGAAAAGAGTTGCTCCACCATGACCACCAGGGAGCGTTCTGATAGCGCAGCCCAGGGTTCCTCCAACTTACTTGGGCCTCCACTACTGGTCCCACTGCTGCCTTCTTCCTCCCCAACCCAGGGATTGCGCATACATTTAGGAGCCACAGCTGAGAACATCATTAGGGTAGTGATGAATCAACAAATGTCAGAGTAAAACATGTTCATGTCATATTAAATTATATGTAAAATACCTGAAACTCTTAAAGTAAATTACCCACCAGCTATGAGGTTTCCAGAAAGTAACAGTGCATCCTGATGCGCAGAGAGATCCAGTGGAAACCAGGCAGAAGACAATAAGGAGAGCACTGTGTTGGCAATTCCTACAGTCAGAGTCCTCCGCTCTGCATCTGGTGCAGATGAGGTGGTTGAAGAGGCTGGAGCACTGCTAGGCTGTGATAAACTGCAGAAAGGAGTGAACAGACAGAAGGTAAGGGGAGTCTAGAGAAAGAGTTGAAATGATTATGTAAAAAAATGTATTAATCAGTGCAGCATACAAACCTGAGGGTTCTGCCCCTACTGCGGTTAAGACTAGAACGGGATGAAAAGTTGCTATTGGAGCTAACGTAGCCACAGTGCCAGCCTGTGCTCCAATTGCCCACTGGAAAATTTGAAGCTAGAAGGCACAAAGCCTCACAGCAGCCAAACTGCAGAGAAGACAGCATGATAAATATTCAGATGTTATGAAACAAATGCCATAAACTTGCTTTAGAGCAGGCAAACAAATGAGCTGAAAACCTACAGTTAGAGCTCTGGAGGTAGACGAGGTCAAAGCATGCGAGACGGCAGCAACTACTCTGGACAAGTTGTTCTCCAACGTGACATCAGAGATAGTGTTGGACATGTTGTAGCCTCGGTATGTCCTGGCGACAAAATTTTAAGTAATTATTCCAAGGTTCCCTCAGGAATTGTGTATTTAACTGCAAAATCTTATAAAAGCTTGTGGCTCAAAGCATTTCTTATCACAAGAAAAATATGTCTGGGGTTGAAAATAGCTCTTATAATGAGTACAATAAGACACATTGTAATAAAAAAAGGATAACCAGGTCAACAAGGTTGAGAACTTCTTCATAGTAATATAGGCTAAGCTGACCTTTGATGAGGCACGAGATATACTGGAAGTGTGGGCGCGTGTGTACCTTGTGATTGTGCTAACTGTGAACTGTGATGGGGGTTGTGTCTCATGCATAAGCAGCTGCAGATAGACTGAACTCTGGTCTCGGGCGATTGCTACCACTGGGTCAACCTGGCCCTGGTCACAGTCATAGAACAACCTGGAAACTAGTCTGTAAAGAGACAGGAAGAGAGATATGACGAAAGTCAAAAAGGGCTTATTTACAGTCCACTACATGAAGAACATAGCACGTGCTATATGTGAAGAGGCATTTTACCTTCTGACCACAGAGGCAGCCACGTGCCGTACTCTTGGATCGTCATCTCCCAACAGATGTATGACCACATCATTCAGGACTCTATCTTGCAGCCGCAGACGCTAGAGAAATGTAAACAAACAACACCAGTCAACAGCTGAATGCAGAAACCCAGAAAGGATATTTCAAAGAAAAGATCATTAAAAAAAATTATCAGAAAATAACCTTACCCCAGTGTAGTGATGATCTCCTTTATGTAAAGTCTCAGTTTTCCTCTCCAAAAAATTAACTAATCTAAAACACGGGAAAAAGTAAAAAAAAAAAACTTTAAAAACCAATTATAGGTAATACAAAGTAAAGGCGAGCTTAAGTTTAAAGTTGAGTTATTATTATTTTTAGAAAACAGAGACTGTATATAACAGGCATCAGGATACAAACGTATCCTACCGGAAGTCTAATTCTGCCAGAGTTTCCAAGAGCTCAGTGCGAACAAGCCAATAGCCGCAGTCCTTCAGCGCAAAGAGGTCAATCACCAACTGCAGGCCAAGCTCACTCAAGGTACTGCTGCAAATAGTCGTGATGCAGTGCTGAAACAAAACACACACAAAAAACCAATGGGTCAGACTCACAAACAAAAGCACAGACACAAAAAAAGAACTTGAAGGACAAAGCAAGACAGAGATAGAGTAGAGATTACCAACACACTCACACAAAACCATCTTACCCTCACTGCAGAGCAAGCCATCTTGCAGGTGACAGAGGATTCATCTTTCAAAGTCTTCTGAAGCAAAGGCACCAAGTCCACCAGGGACAGTGGGTTACCTAGAGTACAGACAGACAGGTATGATAGGCATCTTTAAATACTCTCAATTCTTTGCAAAATGCAAGTAAGACAAAGCCCAACACACAAACCTGTTGCACTCTGCACACTGGCCAGCCAAGTGTGTATGTTGAA